TCAAACCCTGACCCTGCCTGGGCAGAAGGCCCAGCTGGGGTGGATGGGATGTGCATGCGTGCCAGGCAGCAGGTGTGACTCAGGCCGGTGAGGCACACAGGGCGGGGCTATATCTACCCAACTGAGCCTTATCAGATCCGAGCCGGCCACCACTTGGCCCCGTGAAACAAAGAGGCTTTGAGAACCAGGCTGAGGTGTAGGAGGTGGGGCCGAGCCCCAGAAGGCACAACTACCCAGGGACCAGAGGGCACAGGCTGGGAAGCTGCCACCACCTACCCTGCCAAGGAGGTTTGCCCTGAAGGGGCGCCCCCAAGGTGGGACGCTGGGTCTGTGTTCTCCAGAGAAGTCCTCCATTGTGGGAGCCCAGCCCTCTTTAGGACACTACCTGCTGGGGCATTTCCCTCCAGGCCCTCAACTCCATTCCTGCCATGGGATACAGCATTTCCCTTCCCCACCTCCCATTTTGAAGTCTCCCCTCCTCAAACTTCTAGCCCCAACTACACTGGCTCCCAATCCCTGGGCATGCCCTGAACTTCCCCTCTGTACATCTGCTCCTGATGATCCACCCACCTGCCCTTGCCCAAGTCACTCATACCCCTGAAGACCCAGACCAACACCAGCCCCAGGAAGTCTCTGAGCATTGCGCATCCTGCCCCTAGTCCTGTCTAATCGCTCTGCACTTCCTTTGGCGTCACACTGTGTGGAGCTTCTGCCTGAATCTTCATCCCTGGCAGAATCTGCTGAGCCTGGCAGAAGCCTAAGCCCACCAGGACCAGAATTGATGGTTGTAAAAGTTGTACACTGCACAGGGCTCTAGGTTGAGCGAGCAGGGGGACTGCAATCCAGACATGCTCTGAAAGTCCCAGCATATACCCTGCACTAGTCTCTTCTAAATGGACTTCCTGCTCCGGGCACCAGACCAGGAGAGCTGCCTTTTCTAGTTGAGTGTCCCTGAGGGAGCACTTCTTACTAAATATTTCAATGGAGGGCTCCTATTTCCAGTTCCCACACAGGTGGCATAGGTGCTAGCAGTAGGCTCTGCTGTCTAAAGGCCATGTGCATTGGGTTCAGCCCTTTCCAACACAAGACCACTCACTGTCAGAAGCCATTCTATCCTGAGCCCTGTGTGTCTTAGGGAAGATGGCTGAGTGCAGGCCTGCAGGGCTTCCAAAGAGCCATGCAAGCGGTGACTGGGGCTTTCCAAACAAAAGAGAGGAGGCTGCAAGGCCCGCCTGAGGAAGAGTACTTACGGAGAGGCCCCAGCACAGCCAGATAGGGGAACCAGGGTGCAGTGAGCTTCTATAGAAGGTAACTGGCCCAGGCAGCTCCAGAGGCCTTGCAGCCAGGAAGTTCCCCCATTGTGACTCCTAGACCCTGACACTCCAGGTCCTCCCAGGGACCTGTGGACTTAGGCACAGGTCTTGCATTTTGCCTGGATTGGGATATCAGAGGCTACTCTGAATTTCTTTCCCATACATTTCCAAGACAGAGCAGAGAGGCAGGCAGACAGAACAGGTGCTTGGAGGGTCCCTTGAACACAAGTAGACCCTTGGATGACAGGGAGAGAGGATATCTCTACAGGACAGCCCTGGACATCACCCTTACAGGTGCAGCCACTAAGGCCAAAGAAGACCAAGGTCCAAGGTCAAGGATGCTGTGGGTGGGGGAGCTGGATTTCCTATTTAAAACCCCCAAAGTTGACCTGGGCCCTTTTCTCATCCCCCTGGCTCATCCAACCCTGGCTTCCATCCTGGCCACTCTATTGCCTAAGTGTCTACAATCCGTCACCTTCTTTATGACCCTAGAGCCACTTCCCTAGTCTAGGACACCAACTTCCCAGTAGTGCTTCCACGATTGTTCCCTCTGGTCTGCCTTCTATACTGTAGCCAGATGAGCTTTTGGAAGCAACCTAGTCATGAGCTTCCCCTGTTTGAGGGCCCCCAGGATTGAGTCCTATTGCATGCAACACAGGCTCTGTGTCATCTGCCTCCTGCCTCTCTCTCCACTTTGGTTTTTGCCAAGCCCACGCGACCCACATAACTTTACCATGCTGGCCTAATGGTGGTTCCTCTAAGCCTGCAAGCCCCCAAACCTTTGATTTAACTATGTCCTTAGCCTGGATCTCTTCCACATGCCTGCCAGGCAAACTCCTTCTTGCCCCATGTTGTAGCGTCATCGCCTTCAGGAAGTCTTCCTAGTCACCAGCCACTCCATGGTGCTTCGGTAGCCACTGTAAGGATGTCAGCCACAGCAGGTGGTGCACCATGTGGATATCCCTGTCTCCCACACTTCTCCCTCCCAACTTAGGAGTTCACTGAAGACAGGCACTGCCTCTTTCCCCCAACTTGGGCACAGTGCCTGACATGGAGTGGCATCCATTAACACTATGAGATTGGCCAACCACGGCGGCTCATATCTGTAATCTCAGCACTTTGGGAGGCTGAGGTGGGCAGATCACTTGAGGCCAGGAATTTGAGACCAGCCTGGCCAACATGGCAAAACCCCATCTCTACTAAAAATACAAAAAATTAACTGGGTTTGGTGGCATGCATCTGTAATCCCAGCTACTTGCAAGGCTGAGGCAGGAGAATTGCTTGAACCTAAGGCAGAGGCTGCAGTGAACTGAGATCATGCCACTGCTCTCCAGCCTGGGTGACAGAATGAGACCCTGTCTCAAAAAATAAAAAAAATAAAGTAAGCATTGACTATGAGCGAACGTCACAGTTGTGGATGCAGCAGCCTTTGGGGCTAGGCTTGGGCCCAAGTGGAGAAGGAGGCGTTGGATCTGCACTGCCTGGGTCTGGGCAGTGCAAATGACCCTCCTCTGGGTCTCGGCACTGTACGGAGGATGGGAGAGATTTGGGCCACCACACTGCAGACACGAAAGATGATCTCCAGGCTGTCTCCTTGTTTCTTCATATCTGGGCCCAGGATTCCAGGAAAAGCTGTAGGGTCCCATTCCCACCCCAAATTTGTTCTTTTGAGGGACTGAATTCATACAAAGTTCTTTGTCTTTGAAATCTCTGAAATCTTTGTCTGAAAAATGAATTTGTTCCCTGAGGAGGCCTATCTAGAACAGAAAGGTCTAGGGACACCAAATGACTGTCTGCTGGACCACGTGTGCCCAATCCCAGTAGGAGAGGTGCCCCCCCCCACTCCTTCCCCCATGACCTGGGGAGTCATCCACTGCATGCATCCACAATCACCAACAACTTGTCACTGCAATCTGATCTCCCAGGTAGGATGTCTACAGGGAGAGAATGTGTGAATGAATGGACAAGAGCATCTTGACCTAGGCCTGATATTTCTCACTGTGAATGAGTTCATGAACATTTTGGTCCCTGTGAGCCTGGTCAGTAAGAGTCTGCCACAGAGAGATGGGTCCACTCTAGATGTGTTGACAAAGCAGATTTCCAGACCTCAGATGCTGAGTGTGACTTTCCAGAGAGAACCCGAGTTCCCCAGAGGAAAAGCTTGGGGGTAAAAACAATGTGCACAAGAGCCAGTCTGGAAGGATTCAAATTCTGCTTCTGTTGTTTGCTGTGTAATCTTGGGCAAGTTTCTTAGCCTCCCTGTGCTTCTGTGTTCTCTTCTGGAAAGTAGTAATATTAAATGAAGTACACATCACGTATGGTCATTATGAGTATTAAATGAGCTACTGAATATAAAGATCTAGAATGATGCCTAGCAAGGGTTAGTCATCATTAAATGATAGAAATTATCAATACAGCCAGTGGAGCCCGATTTCTCCAGATGACACGGACCACAGAATAATGGTTTTCTCTGGCATTTTCTTCAATGGCTGTGAGGAGAGGATAAGCTAAGAGTCTGAACAGTCATCCCCACCACTTTCAACACAGTCATCTGTGTAAGAGGACAGAGCCTGGGCAGTGGCACACTTCAACAACTAGCTCCCCAAGGTGGGGGGAAACCCTAAGTTGTAGTCTCTGCCAATTTCCAGTGTTCTATGGCCACTGTGCCTATTTCAACTGACTCACAAAACTCCTGAAAATTTTGTATCACTGGACCTAGAACCTCAGTTTATCTGTAGTGAGTATAGAAAAATTTGCCTTGGGATGGAGGGATGGAGGGAAAGTAAAGAAGGGGGTCATGCTGTCTTGGCAGTAAACCGGGCCTCCTCTGGACTAAGCAGTAGTTCTTGAGTGTGGCCCATGGACCATCTGCCATGTTTGGGGTGTTTACAAAACTAAGCTCCTAGGCCTTGCACTGGATCTATTAAAGTGGAATCCTGGGCTGGGCACAGTGGCTCACGCCTGTAATCCCAGCACTTTGGGAGGCCAAGGTGGGTGGATCATGAGGACAGGAAATCAAGATCATCCTGGCTCACACGGTGAAACCCCGTCTTTAGTAAAAATACAAAAAAGAATTAGCCAGGCATGGCGGCAGGCACCTGTAGTCCCAGCTACTTGGGAGGCTGAGGCAGGAGAATGGCGTGAACCCAGGAGGCGGAACCTGCAGTGAGCCGAGATTGTGCCACTGCACTCCAGCCTGACCAACAGAGTGAGACAAAAAAAAAAAAAAAAAAAAAAGTGGAATCCTGGAAGTCTGACCTGTCCAAGAAGTCAGAATAGTCCACAAGATAGATGTGAATTTTACAGAATCTTTTCACACTGTGGTTCATTACCAACAGGGAAGAGTCAGAAGCCCAGGCCCCAACAGCACAAGGGCATGATTACAGATGAGTGAGGTGACCATGGACTAGTCATCTCTGTTCTCTCTCGGATCCATCCTTGTTTGGGGTAAACGGTGAGGTCAGTGTGTAAAGGCCCTGCCCTGCGCAGAGCACAGCTCTCTATAGGGGCTTTGCAGAGCTACTGGGTGGGAATAGACCTGCAGGGAGGGTGGGAGGCCTGGAGTTTCTGTCCTTGGAGGAAGGTGAGCCAGGCCTCTCTGAGGAGGGAAGAAAACCCTGGACATACCCTTCCAGGGCTCCAAACTATCCGTGAATTGTCCCCTCTCAGCATCTTGGACTCTGTGGCTCTAACAACTTAAATAATTTTTATTACAAAAGGAAGAAAAGACCAAAACATCCCCAGAATTCTCCCATGGGCTTCCCCCTCCGCGCCAATAAATAAGGTATGGGAGACTGACCAGCGGAAGGGGTGGGGATCATGGTTCAGCAGAAGAGGGAGCTTAGCCCGGGGGGTGGCAAGCACATCCAGCCCACTTCCCCCAGTCCCCGGCACTATGGTCACATTGGCCAGAACACAGAACTCTGCCCACTGACAGCAACAGTCTCTGAATGTGTCTTGAGGAGTGTGGCCGGGGAGGAATGTCATACCTCAGAATGGCCGGGATGGCTGCCCCACCCCTGTGGCCTTCCCAGTTCTGGACAGCATCGGGTCCAGCCAGCTCCATGCTGGCTCCCAGGGAATTTAGCAGCATCAACTGAGGTGCAAGCCCACCCAAAGGGGCCTAAGACAGATGGAATGGGCCCTCCCCAATGGGGGAGGCAGAGTATGAAAACTCATAGTGAGAGCAGGCTGAGTTGGGAGTCGCCGTGCCAGCCTCAAGGTCTCTAGGATAGAGGGGTCAACAACCACCCCCTCGCCAGCTCAGCTTGCAGCTCTATGACTACACCACGGCGGGGGTGGGGAACCCTGGTGTTGCCCAGTCAAGTCTCAATGATGTATCTCCATGGCAGAGGAGATGGCAGGAGCCAGTGCACCCCAGCACAGGTCCCTTCCAGGGCCAGCTCCCTCCTGGCCGAGAGGCTTCTGGACCCAGTACAGCAGTTCCAGGAGGGCAGCGGTGGAGTCCTTTCAGCTCCCTGCCCCGGATATGCCCAGTGGGTGGAAGCTGCCCTCTTCTAGCAGGAGACGCCCCAGGCGGTAGAGCAGCTGGGGGTACCAATGCACACCCTCCCCAGGGGTCCAGCTGCCCCACGCCAAGCTGTGAAAGAGTCTCAGGGGCCAGAAGGCCAACTGAGCCAGGTGGTGGTCAGCCACGGCCGCGAAGCAGGATGCCACCACATCTTCCACCACCAGTGTCCCGTGCCTTGTGAGTGGGGCATAGGCCCCAAGGGCCACGTGTGTAGAGACAGCTGCCACGCGGGCAGGCTGCAGGCCTGGCACCCCAGCCACCAGCACATACTGGCCAGGCTGCACGTGGCTGGCAAATGTGGCCCGGAAGCGGGCCGCTGGCTCCGTGTGATTGTCAGCTGTAAAGAGCAGGTGAGCGGGTGTGAGTGCCAGGCGGCGTGGGGGGTCCTGAGTCTCGATGACCTGGAAGGCTCTTAGCCTGTGGGGCTCGCGGTCCAGGAAAATGAGCACATCACTGAAGGTGGGGCTCCCGTCCTCCCCCATGGCCAGCACGCGGTCTCCCGGCCTCACAGCTGACAAGGCCACACGCGCCCCACTCTCCAGGCGTACCTGGGCTCCGGCAGGGAAGCAGCCGCCCGTCTTGGCTGCAGCCGAGTGCTCTGTGGGAGAAAGGGACAGGAAGGTGTTACTGCTGTGTAGCTCGGCCTCCCGGTCACAACGATCCTCCCTTGGCCACCCCAGCCAGCCAGAGCTCCTCTTGCTCCCAGAGAGCCCCTGTCACCATATCCTGGCTCCTGCTCCCCACTTCCTATGCGGGCTTGAACCCACACTTCACTGCCCCCCATCTCCTCACTCCAATGTGATCTTCTGCCCCCTCCTCCCCAGCCTAATACTTTGCCAACGAGAGGAGCACAGTAGGGCTCCAAGACCCAGTGGATGAGAAGGAAAGGGCTGCCTCATGGAGCGGGAGGTTGCTTAGCTCCTCCGAGGCCTAGATGTTTTGTTATTTCTCACCCCTTGCTCAGACACTCCCCAAAAATTGCCCTCTCAGGCTGATTCCCCAGGTTCTGTAACAGAGCTGGCCCTTTGAACGTAGGGATATGGGAGAAGCCCACCCAGTGGGGCGAAGGCAGACTCCTGGGCAGCCTGGGAGTGAATGGTTGGGTCAGGAGCAAGCCAGGGGCAAGGACACAGTCACCATCTTCAGTTCATGTGCTGAGTCCCTGTGCAGGGACAGGACACTGCAGCATCAGCAAGTGAGCTGGAGAACAGTGTTTGGGGGTCAGGAGTAATGAACAGAAGTGGCTGTCGTGGGCTGGTGTTTGCAGTGAAGGGTGGATGGGGCTTGCAGTAGACACAGTTGGCAGGGAAGTACTGAGTGGAAGGTTCAGGGTGTGGTTGTGGGTCAGGAATATCAACATGTGGGCCTGGGCTCAGTGTGCAGGTCTATGAGAGTGCGACTACTACATGCTGCCAGTGTGAAGGGCTGAGCCGGCAGCCAGATGGGGCTAGGCTGGAAGCCACACAGGAACCATTTGGAGCCTCCATGGCTGGGTTTGGTGTAGTTGACAGGGTGCTGACAAGACTTGAGGGAGGGGTGAGGCCCCAGTGCCTGCCGATTCTGATCAACAATGCGGCCAATCTGGGAAAATCCACTTTATTGAGTCCACTTTGTTTAGTCTGGCTCTCCTGGCTGGCTTTGCCCTGAAATGTCCAGCTTCAGGGCATGGGGGGTAGAGTTTGAGTTTGGGGACGCCTGCGCCCCAGGGAGGGCTGACCTGCAGCTGGGTGATGGGTTCAGAGCCTCTGGGCTCCTGGTCAGGCATGCAGGTGTCTGGGCATATCCCGGCCCCTGGCCCCACCACCCGCCTTACTCTGCACCAGGTGGGGTGGGGAGGCCTTTTCTGGCAGCCTGGCTTCCTCCATCTGTCCAGCTTGCTCTGTCTTGCACCTCCTGTGGCAGGCTCTGGACTGTGGGCCACCAGGTCAGCACCCAGCAGCCCTGGGACAGGGCCCTATCTCCCTAGGCTCCTACCATGACACTACCAGGCATGGGATGAGCAGGCAGTCAAGGTCAGGAGTAGCGTTGGAGAGCGCCGCCGATGTCCTCTTCCCCCGGATCCCTGCCTCCATCCCTGGGCGGGCCTCTTCACCTTCTTGGCACTAGGCCTCCTGCCCACGCCCTGCGGCCCCGGCCCCGGCCCCGGGCCCAGCCCCCCGGCGGCGGCTCACCGGACTTGACGGAGCAATGCACGTGGGCCTTTGATTCGTAATACACCCAGTCAAAGCCGGCCTCCACTGCCAAGCGCGCCAGCAGTCCATACTTATTGCGGTCGCGGTCTGATGTGGTGATGTCCACCGCGCGGCCCTCATAATGCAGGGACTCCTCTGAGTGGTGGCCGTCCTCGTCCCAGCCCTCAGTCACCCGCAGCTTCACACCGGGCCACTGGTTCATCACGGAGATAGCCAGCGAGTTCAGCCGGTCCTTACAGCGCTGGGAGAGGAATGTGCGCGAAATCAGCTGGAGCGAAATCGGCGGGAGGAGACTGCCGAGGTGCAGGTGTAGGCGCAGCCTCGCCCAGAACTCTCCCGCCACACCCACGGGAGCTGGAAGCCCAGGAGGGTGCTGTCCCTCTCCCTTAGGAACAGAGGGCCCTGAAGTGCTCCCTCCCTAGCATACAGCCTCCCCCAGGGATCTAGACCGCACGACGGTATCACAAATCTGGAGGAGGCATGGAGGCAAGCGCCCTGGCGGCGCCTTCTCTGGTAGGTAGAGGTCCCCTGCCTCCCTGTGCTGTCTTCAGCTCCGGGTATCCATCCCTCCACAGACAGGACTACACCTTTCAGCGCCCGGTCAGCGGCCGGGAGGGATGAGTGGCAGCGGAGTCGACTGCCTGCGGCGGGCCTGCGAGGCGTGCAAGGCCCGAGGTGCCCAGTAGGTGTCACCGCAGCCTCAGGGCTGAGGCCTGGGGACGACGGGCTCTGGAGGCGCGGCAGGTGCAGAGCGTCTCAGCAGCTTCAGGGGGTGTGTTGGAGGGGAATCGCCGGCCTGCCTGGATCCCTCGAGCATCACCGAGGACTCCTGCCGGGACCCTCTTATAATCCCAAACCGGCCCACACCCCCGCTAGAGATGCCAGGGCCAGGGAACCAGAAACCGGTGGACTAGCTCCAGGGCCGCCCAATGCCGGGCCACATGCAGCGTCTTCCTCTGCAAGGCGCATAAGGGGCTGACAATCCCAGACCTCCAGGACCTCTGCACCGGTGGCCCGCCCCTATACCGTGGGAAGGAACTCCATAAACCAAGCTTCTGATCTCAGGGAGCCAGCTCCACCACCCTCCTCATGTGGAGTTGGAGTAGAGCCGTGCCCTGGGGGAAGGACCCAAGCGGCCATCCCTGGTTGCTGCCTCCTGGTGTGCCTGGGTCCTGAGAGCCCAAGGGACTGTGCGGCTGACTCTGAGAAGCTGGGGCGGAGGCCTTGGCCTGAGGGGAAAGGCCCTTCCACCAGTCCTCGACTCTGAGATTCAAGGCGCCAACCAGTGTGGGCAGCCCAAGTCTCAACCTACCCCCACCCTGCAGAGCCTGGGCCTCACAGACCCTTGGACTCAGCCTCCTAGGAGCCAATAGCAGCTACAACCCAGGGCCTTGCAGGTCCTCGCTGGTGCACAGCCTGGCTGGGGGTGCTTACTGCCCGGGGAGGGAGTTCCGCTTGCTCCTTTGTAGACCCTGCTGTCAGGCTTCTAGCCCCCAACCTATGCCCGCCTGCAGCCCTGGTTCCCCGCCTCTCTCCCTCACTGCCACCGCCCCCTCTCGGGTCCAGAGCCCGGGCGTGCGCTGTCAATGATTGCCCAGCCCGTGGCCCGGATCCTTATCTGCATTCCTCGGCGCCCGGCCCGGCCCGGCCACCAGCCAACCTTCGGCCCCGACACCGGCCGGCCAGCCCCGGCGCCAGGGTGCATGCTGAGGGCCCTGAGTCTAGCTGCTCTTCCCAACGGATCTAGAAAGTCAGGGGCCTGCTTTCAGGGGGAAGCCTCGGGAGACCCCGGAGGAAGGGGGTGAAGGTCTCTCCCCTCGCGGACCTGGCTGCAGGGAAGGAAGTTTGCGCCTCTAAGCTTGGGTGGAGCGCGGGTCCTGCTCCCAGCATGCAGAGACTAGCGTCAGCCCTGTTCCCTGCCTCCTTCGGCATCTCAGCCTCTCTCTTCCACCACCAAGCCCAGGAATCCCCTAAGCTCAGTCCCAGAGCCCAAAGACCCCAATAACCTACCCTTCCACCGCAGTAGCACCCCTCAGCTCTCCGAACAGACACGTGGGCTCGCTGAGCGGGTTCCCTTTCCCACCTCCGCCTCCCCATTCAACTCTTCCTCGCTGTTCTTAACCCCAGACCCAGCCGGGACGGACGCTGCTCCTGGAGGGGGCAGCGCATAGAACCAAGAGCGCACAGGGAGGAAAGACCGTGGTGCCCCTACGCATCAAGAGATTCTTTGCCTCAGGGATGCCGAAAGGTTTCAAAATGAAAGGGGCACAGCTGTGCAGGTTAGGCCGGGAAGGACTGCGTGGGTCCCGGAGGCGCAGGAGGCAGCCGGGTAGAGGTACCTCCGGGTGCCGCGTCTGGCTGAGCTGCCAGTACTTTGGGGCAGAGGAGCCGCCGCCAACCTGCTGGGCTGTGGGGCTTGGCAGCAAGGAGCTCTTCTAGCAGTCTCCGCCGGGCTTGGGGATGCCGACACTCCTGCCTGGACCCCTGGCCAGCCCATCGTGGGCAGGAGGCAGCGGGGCTTGGCGAGAGGGGCAGGTGCCAGGGAGAGTGCCAGCCAGTCGAGAAAAGGTGCCAGGGGGTGGGTAGGGCCGGGCAGGTGGCGGTGCTTCGGCGGCGGCGCGCTGGTAGGGCGGATCGCGCTCACCTGGGTCATGAGGCGGTCGGCGCCTGTGTTCTCCTCGTCCTTGAAGATGATGTCTGGATTGTAATTGGGGGTGAGCTCCTTGAAGCGCTCGGAGCTGCGAGCGATCTTGCCTTCATAGCGTCCGCTGGCGCCCAGGGTCTTCTCGGGCACGTTGGGGCTGAACTGCTTGTAGGCGAGCGGCACGAGTTTGCGCGGCGGTCGCCGGCGGCTGCCCACCACC